AGGCATATATTTCCATAAACATTCATACTTATCCTTCTATATCCATGAAACCCCCCCAAAACATATCCAAAATAAAAACACAAAGCATATATTTGCATAAATATTCATGCATATCCTTCTATATCCATGAAACCGCCCAAAATATATCCAAAATAAAAACACAAACCATATATTTGCATAAACATTCATGCTTATCCTTCTATATCCATGAAACCCCCCCAAAACATATACAAAATAAAAACACAAACCATATATTTGCATAAATCTTTATGCTTATCCTTCTATATCCATGAAACCCCCAAAAATATATCCAAAATAAAAACACAAACCATATATTTGCATAAATATCCATACTTATCCTTCTATATCCATGAAACCCCCCAAAATATATCCAAAATAAAAACACAAAGCATATATTTGCATAAATATTCATACTTATAATTCTATATCCATGAAACCCCCAAAATATATCCAAAATAAAAACACAAACCATATATTTGCATACATCTTTATGCTTATCCTTCTATATCCATGAAACCCCCAAAAATATATACAAAAATAAAAACACAAACCATATATTTGCATAAAAATCCATACTTATCCTTCTATATCCATGAATCTGTATCTATCCATCAACACAGATCTATCAACCTACAGCAACTATCTATCCACCAATCTATCTATACACATTCACCAGCCATTAACTATCTACTCACAGGTGCCCATCTACCTATCTACTCATTTGCCTGACTCATCCACATCGACAACAGACTATCCACACCTATCCACCTATCAATCTAATTATCCACTCAAAAATAATAAATAAATTAATAACTGATACGAAATAATACAGAATGAGTCTATATACGAGCACGGTAAACAACCGGTCACGAACAATCAAAATCATTTGCTAAGTTAGGTAAAGTTGAGTGAAGTTGGATGAAGTTGAGTGAAGTTAGGTTGAGCCAACTTGGGTGAAGCTGAGTGGAATTAAGGGAAGATGAGTGAAGTTAAGGGAAGCTGAGTGAAGTTAGGAGAAGCTAAGTGAAGTTAGGGAGAGCTGAGTGAAGTTAGAAGCAAAGTGAAGTTGAGTGAAGTTAGGAGAAGCTAAATGACGTACGGAGGAGCTGAGTGAAGTTAGGAGAAGCAAAGTGAAGTTAAGGACAGTTATGAGAGTCTAAATGAAGTACGGAGGAGCTGAGTGAAGTTAGGAGAAGCTAAATGAAGTTAAGCGAAGTTAGGAGAAGCTAAATGAAGTAAGGAGGAGCTGAGTGAAGTTAGGCGAAGTCAAAACTGTATAACGAGGCTAATTGATCCTACAGTTGTGCCTTACAAGCGGGCGGTCAAACGATTATCGCCTCTATTGCGCTCTCCTTTGTCTCTTTAACGGTGCCAAATGACTTGCACGAAGGGGGGGGGGGTGAACCATACAAGGGGGAGGGGGGGGGGGTTGCGTGCACTCAAACACTTCCGATTTTAGACTTACTCTTTTAACTTTTCGTAATTAAAATGACGTAATTCAACCTAAAATTACAAAAAAAAAAAAAAAAAAACGCAAACAGCAACCCTATAACTTAATGAATTCATTAATAATAATAATAACAATAATAATAATGATATAATAATACAAACAATAACAAACAACAACAATAACAAAACAACAACAATGATAATAATAATAATAATAATAATAATAATAATAATAATAATAATAATAACAACAACAATAACAATAACAACAACAACAACAACAACAACAAATCAAAGGGGAAAACAACGAGAAGGAATACAACAGCGCACAGCGAACGGGAAATGCTGATGGCTCCACTCCAAGTTCTCAGCCTTTTAAATACAGTAATCACATGTAAACACATAATTGTCGACTGAGAGAGACTGAGGCGTGCGTGGGTCTGGTGACACTTTAATCATGCACTGGCAACTCAGGCTCTCGACTCATGGGGACCCTGTATCTACTTGATTATTTGTGTTTTTTTTTGGGGGTTTGTTGTCGGTTATCTTGTCTGTTTTCTTTGTTTATGTCTGTCTGTGTGTTTGTGTTTTGTTGTCTTTGTGTCTGTGTGTCTCTCTCTCCGTCTCTCTGTCTCTGTCTCTCTCTCTTCCTTCCTTCTCTCTTTCTTCCTCCCTTCTCCCTCCCTTTCCGCCTCTCCCTCCTTTCCCTCTCCCCTCTTCCTCCTTTCCCTCTCCCCTCCCCCTCTCCCTCCCTCCCTTCCCACTCCCTCCTCCCCCCTTCCCTCCCTTCCCTCCCGCGATCTTTCTTCCTCTCACTGTCAGTCCGTGAGGCCCGCTGGTGAGTGATGGCTCGGTAGTGAAAGAGCAAATAAAGACAAGAGACTTAAAGGATTTCACTCCGTCAGCGAGAGACATCGTGTGTCAGAACCGTAATATTGTAGGGAGGCAATTTTACAAATAATAATAATAATGATGATGATGATGATGATGATGATGATGATGATGATGATGATGATGATGATGATGATGATGATGATGATGATGATGATGATGATGATGATGATGATGATGATGATGATGATGATGATATAATAATAATAATAATAATAATAATAACAATAATAATAATAATAATATAATAATAATAATAATAATAATAATAATAATAATAATAATAATAATAATAATAAATAATAATAGATAAAATAATAAAAGATAAATTACGTGTTTCGTAATTCAACTTGGTGGATTTGACGTCACGTACTTCACGAACGAGAAAGACAAAAAAAAAAAATAAATAAAAACAAATAAAAAATAATACCGCATCAAATTCCTCGAGCAATTAATGAATAATACCAGGAAAATAATACAAGATCCGTAATAAAAAAAAAAAAAAAAAAATACGACCAACCTAACCAAATTACGAGGAACTCCTGTACGAGAAGTTCCAAGACGACGCTACGAGTCCCGACAAGAAGTTCCAAGAAGACGCTACGAGTCCCGACAAGAAGTTCCAAGAAAGACGCTACGAGTCCCTTCCAAGAAGACGCTACGAGTCCCGACAAGAAGTTCCAAGAAGACGCTACGAGTCCGACAAGAAGTTCCAAGACGCTACGAGTCCGACAAGAAGTTCCAAGAAGTACGAGTCCCGACAAGAAGTTCACGTACGAGTCCCGACAAGAAGTTCCAAGAAGACGAGTCACGAAGTCCAAGAAGACGCTACGAGTCCCGACAAGAAGTTTCCCGAAGTTTCCAAGAAGACGACGAGTCCCGACAAGAAGTTCCAAGAAGACGAGTCCCGACAGAAGTTCCAAGAAGACGCTACGAGTCTCCACGAGTCCGACAAGAAGTTCTACGAGAAAGAAGTTCCAAGAAGACGCTACGAGTCCCGACAAGAAGTTCCAAGAAGACGCTACGAGTCCCAAGTTCCAAGAACGAGTCCCGACAAGAAGTTCTACGAGTCCCGACAAGAAGTTCCAAGAAGACGTACGAGTCCCGACAAGAAGTTCCAAGAAGACGCTACGAGTCCGACAAGAAGTTCCAAGAAGACGCTACGAGTCCCAAGACTACGAGTCCCGACAAGAAGTTCCAAGAAGACGAGTACGAGAAGTTCCAAGAAGACGACGAGACAAGTTCCAAGAAGACACGAGTGAAGTTCCAAGAAGACGCTACGAGTCCGACAAGAAGTTCCAAGAAGACACGAGTCCCGACAAGAAGTTCGAAGTACGAGTCCCGACAAGAAGTTCCAAAGAAGACGTACGAGTCCCGACAAGAAGTTACGAGTCCCGAAAGAAGTTGAAGACGAGTCCAAGAAGTTCCAAGAAGACGTACGAGTCCCGACAAGAAGTTCCAAGAAGACGTACGCTAGTCCCGACAAGAAGTTCCGACACGAGTCCCGACAAGAAGTTCCAAGAAGACGCTACGAGTTCCAAGAAGACGTACGAGTCCGAAGAAGTTCCAAGAAGTAAGTAAAGTTCCAAGAAGACGTACGAGTCCGACGAAGTCCAAGTACGAGTCCGACAAGAAGTTCAAGAAGACGTACGAGTCCCGACAAGACAAGAAGTACGAGTCCCGAGAAGTTCCAAGAAGACGTACGAGTCCCGACAAGAAGTTCCAAAGAAGACGCTACGAGTCCGACAGAAGTTCCACGTACGAGTCCCGACAAGAAGTTCCAAGAAGACGCTACGAGTCCCGACAAGAAGGAAGTACGAGTCCACAAAGTTCCAAGAAGACGCTACGAGTCCCGACAAGAAGTTCCAAGAAGACGCTACGAGTCCCGACAAGAAGTTCCAAGAAGACGCTACGAGTCCGACAAGAAGTTCCAAGAAGACGCTACGAGTCCCGACAAGAAGTTCCAAGAAGACGCTACGAGTCCCGACAAGAAAGAAGACGCTACGAGTCCCAAGACGTACGAGTCCCGACAAGAAGTTCCAAGAAGACGTACGAGTCCCGACAAGAAGTTCCACGACGTCCCGACAAGAAGTTCCAAGAAGACGCTACGAGTCCCGACAAGAAGTTCCAAGAAGACGTACGAGTCCCGACAAGAAGTTCCAAGAAGACGCTACGAGTCCGACAAAGAAGTTCCAAGAAGACACGTCCCGACAAGAAGTTCCAAGAAGACAAAGAAGTTCCAAGAAGACGCTACGAGTCCCGACAAGAAGTTCCAAGAAGACGCTACGAGTCCGACAAGAAGTGAAGACCCTACGAGTCCCGACAAGAAGTTCCAAGAAGACGTACGAGTCCCGACAAGAAGTCCAAGAAGACGCTACGAGTCCGACAAGAAGAAGAAGACGCTACGAGTCCCGACAGAAGTTCCAAGAAGACACGAGTCCCGACAAGAAGTTACCACAAGAAGTTCCAAGAAGACGCTACGAGTCCGACAAGAAGTTCCAAGAAGACGCTACGAGTTCCAAGAAGACGACGAGTTCCAAGAAGACGCTACGAGTCCCGACAAGAAGTTCCAAGAAGACGCTACGAGTCCCGACAAGAAGTTCCGAAGACGTACGAGTCCCGACAAGAAGTTCCAAGAAGACGCTACGAGTCCCGACAAGAAGTTCCAAGAAGACGCTACGAGTCCCGACAAGAAGTTCCAAGAAGACGCTACGAGTCCCGACTTCCCGAACGAGTCCCGACAAGAAGTTCAAGAAGACCTACGAGTCCCGACAAGAAGTTCCAAGAGAGTCTACGAGTCCGACAAGAAGTCCAAGAAGACGCTACGAGTCCCGACAAGAAGTTCCAAGAAGACCCTACGAGTCCCGACAAGAAGTTCCAAGAAGACGCTACGAGTCCGACAGAGAAGACGCTACGAGTCCCGACAAGAAGTTCCAAGAAGACGCTACGAGTCCGACAGAAGTTCCAAGAAGACGCTACGAGTCCCGACAAGAAGTTCTACGAGTCCCGACAGAAGTTCCAAGAATACGAGTCCGACAAGAAGTTCCAAGAAGACGCTACGAGTCCCGACAAGAAGTTCCAAGAAGACGCTACGAGTCCCGACAAGAAGTTCCAAGAAGACCCTACGAGTCCCGACAAGAAGTTCCAAGAAGTTCCGAGAAGTTTACGAGTCCCGACAAGAAGTTCCACGAGTCCCGACAAGAAGTTTCCCGACAAGAAGTTCCAAGAAGACGCTACGAGTCCCGACAAGAAGTTCCAAGAAGACCCTACGAGTTTCCAAGAAGACCCTACGAGCTCCCGAGTCTTCGTACGAGTCCAGACAAGAAGTTTCCAAGAAGACGCTACGAGTCCCGACCATACGAGTCCTTCAAGAAGACGCTTCCGACCGTACGAGTCCCGACAAGAAGTTCAAGAAGACCCTACGAGTCCCGACAAGAAGTTCCAAGAAGACCCTACGAGTCCGACAAGAAGTTCCAAGAAGTACGAGTCCCGACAAGAAGTTCCAAGAAGACCCTACGAGTCCCGACAAAGAAGTGTACGAGTCCCGACAAGAAGTTCCAAGAAGACGCTACGAGTCCCGACCGCAATAAACGAGAGAGAAAGAAGACGGTGACGCTCGCCTTCAACTCGCTCAGATGTCACCGCTGCCTCAACCGTCCGCAGCCACGACTTATTATACCGATCAAGTCCTCGTCACTCAGCTCTCGAAGCTTGCCATCAGCTCCTCCTCTCGGTTCCGTTTCCTTTCGACTTCATCTCCTTTGGACTTCGTCTCCTCTGGACTTCACCTCGTCTGGGCTACGTTATTTGACTTCGTCTCCTCTCGACTTGACCTCCTCTTGACTTCATCTCCTCTCTACTTCACCTCTTGACTTCGACTTCATCTCCTCTCTACTTCTTCTCCTTACTTCATCTCTTGACTTCATCTCCTCTCTACTTCATCTCCTCTCTACTTCATCTCCTTCTCTACTTCATCTCCTCTCTACTTCATCTCCTCTCTACTTCACCTCCTCTCGACGCCACCTCTGGACCTCGTCTCCTCTCGACTTCATCTCCTCTCTACTTCATCGACGTCTCCTCTCGACTTCATCTCCTCTCCGCCTTCACAGTCATCGTCTACATTTCCTTGTCGTAATCTTCAGAGTCATCTTTGTAATGTCTCCTTCAGTTGTTTTTATTTGTCTTCGTTATTGCCAACCAGATTTTGCCCAACAACGATTCCAATGTCACCTTCGCAGTACCTCCTTCAGGCTTTGTCTTCTTCGTCAGTTTCTTGCTTTGCTTAACAGGTTCTACGTCGTCCTTTTCAAACGCCTCTTACCTCCTTCTGTTTTCTTTCTTTCTTCTTCTTCTTCTTTACCTTTACCTGATAACTTATTTCCTTACCATCTTCCTAGCCTCTCCTCTTTCCTCTTTAACAACTTTACTCTTAATTTACCGTCCCTCTTCTTTTTTTTTATTTTTTATTTCCACCATCATCACCTTCGCAACAATTTCTCAATCATCTTTCCATCGCTCTTTCCACCCCCCCCCCGCTTTCCCTATTCTCCATCTTCGTCACAGCGACTTCACTGCCAACTTCCAACTTTCGACACAATAACAACTTCTCTGCCAACGCCACTGCCACCTCTCCGGCGTCTCCCTCCCCCGAACATGTCAGTCACTATCTTCACCATCATCGTCTGCTTCCACCTCCCTAACTCCCTTCCCTCCCTCCCTCCATTCCCTCCCTCCCTCCCCCTCCTTCCCTCCCTCCATTCCCTCCTTCCCTCCGTCCTTATCTCCACTCCACTCCCTCGCCCTCAATCCCTCCCTCCTCCCTCCATCCCTCCTTCCTTCTCTCCGTCCCTCCCTCCCTCCATCCTTCCTCCCTCCCTCCCTCCCTCCTCCCCTCCTTCCCTCCCTCCCCCCTCCTTCCTTCCTTCCTTTCCTCCTTCCCTCCCTCCCCTCCCTCCATCCCTCCCTCCTTCCCCCCCCCCCCTCTATCTCCCCGGTGTCATGTTTCGAAGTCGATTTACAAACAAAGGTTTTATGCGAGGGCGCAGTTGCAGGCATTGCAAGAGACAGACTGCCGTGCCTTTCCTTTTCTTGTCTTCTTGCCTTTCCTCTTTTATCTGCGGTTTTCTTCGTACGCCGATG